TCCACACATCCCGGCGGCATTGTTATTGATTAATTTCTCTCACGATCAGTTGTGATCACAGATACATAAAACATGAGAAGGGGGACTGACTGCCTGTACACCTTATCATCACTGATGCTATTCGACAACCCTTCCTTGCTATGGGGAAATGTCAATAGCTCTTCTAATCTCTTTACTTCTCCCCTTGTGGCCACTGCTTTATGCTTTTGATGAAGGGCTGCCAAAAGTCTGTCCTTTTCTACCCTTGGTTTCCTGCTAAGGTCCCGAACAATGTGGATACTTAACTTTTCATCCACACCATGTCACCCTGGCCCACTCAGTGTGTTATTATTTTATTGTGTAGAGACATTTAATGATTGTTTTTGTGGGCATAGGTGAAGTGACCATCACTTGACTTCAGCACTGGTTTTACATTATGAAAATAAACAACAATTAAAACAATATTAATCGAATATCCCCAGATAATAAAATCGTATCTTCAAGATTCATTTGTTACATGAACAGTCATACAGTGCAAAATATATATTTATATATACATTTATAGGTGATATTTTTACAAAGTAAAATCAGTAAAAACATTTAAAAAAACCTTTTTTGCAATTTTATTTACAACCATATATACTATATATATGTATATAATACTTATCTAAAGTATATTTTATGTATGCATTTATATGTATTTATTTGTTTGTTTGGGTGTTGATTACCTACAACTGTCAGACTGGCTACAACTACTTTTTTTTTTTTTGGTTTCTGCTGCATTTGTGTCCTGGCTGCTTACTGACACGTCAGCTCGTGTCACCCTTACTAGGGTCACCAACCTTTGTCTCTGATGTTGGACAGAAAATTAAAGCTGCAGTAATGACACACAAAACAGTATGTCAGTATATCATCCCCCCCCTGCCAGCTCTGTTTTACTGCTGCCTGGTGAAACACTGCTCATTAAGAATATGCATGTTAATTTAACAACCAGAGAAAATGACACACATTTCAAACCTGTAACATTTTGATTGACAACCCGCAGGGTGTTGTTTTTACAAATGGTGTTGGATTTTCAGAGTACTGGCAGTTACACTGGTTTGCATACTTTACATCCATGGTTTCGGTGTGAAAGATTATCATTAGAGACCGGGGATTGTGATTCTTCCTGCAGCGTGTCTTTAACTGATGATCCCTGCCACAGCAGATCTGATTAAAAAGTATTTAAGTCCAAGCAAACCCTCTCACGCTGTTGTTTGGCAAATCTCTGTCTTTAATTCATATTTCCAGTAAGTAGCTCTTTGACATCAGATGGCCTTCTGCAGCATCGGCGAAAAGGGAGGCCACCACGTCCCTGCCAGTGATTGCATCTGGATAATGATGCTGTTTTACATGCTCGTTGTTTGTCCTTCACTGGGCAATTATTTGAACAATGTGTATGTAGTCTTTTGAAGAGGATTGTGACATATTGTGGCCCGGCTAATGACTAGAAATGCATTAAGACCAAAGTGGGGTTCTAATAAAGACAGTTGACAAGGCCTGAAGGCCTTCTCTTTGTTGTTTCTCTTAATGAAAAGGGGAAATCTTGCTCTGCTAAAGTGTCCTTCGACCTTAACCAGTTACAAAGTTTCTCATCTTTCAACAAAGACTATGTCAAGCACATTGAACTACATGTTGGTTAATGGGCACTTATCATTTTGGATTATTATATTTTTCTTCTAGTTTAATTGATGACAGATGTAGAGCAAGCCTCGCTGACATTGAAACAATAAATGCAAATGATGAATTCAAAGCTGTCCGTACTGAGAGACAAAATAAAAATATTAAACACACCAATACCTGCATTATATGTATTATATATTCTGTCCCCCCCCTCACCCCATGTTAGTTATTTAAAAGACAACAATCTTATGTTCATACGCTTCTAGGTAGTGAGACCCAGATAGTAGCTCGTACAGTTGTTGTATGTTGTAAAAATGCAATTAAAACTAAAATATTCAATTTGTAATGCAAACAA